AAAAAAAAGAAAGAAAAACAAAATTGAAGGCGACGAAAATCACAATCAGAAACTCAGAAATCAGAATTCACGAAACCCTCATTTCACTTCTCTTCATCATCTCCCTCTCGGCCTCTCCACCGCAGCCTCCAAGGATCCACCACAGCCCAGCTCCCTTCATCATTTCACTTCTCACATCCTCTGTTTCCTCGACTCTCGTCTCTCGCTCTCGCCTTTCGCCCAGCTCTCGGCACCCCCAAAGTCCCTTCTCCTCGGCTCTTTGTACCCTACATCCCTTGCACGGTTGCACCTCGACTTTCAACTCCAAAGGTATCATTTTGTTTTACATTTGAGATTATTAATAGCTTCAGTGAATGATTTCGTTTTCTCGCTCTCGCCTTTCATTTTGTTTTTTTCTTTTTTTGAAGCTGCTTCACAGAACATGAATTGAAATTGGCCCTCTTCTAGTGAATTATTTCGATTTTTTTTTAAATTAGAGTGAGATAAAAGGATTGATGGAGATTGATGTTTGATTGCATTTTTTTTATGTGTATTTTTCGATTTTTTTTTTTAAATTAGAGTGAGATATAAAGATTGATGGAGATTGATGTTTGATTGCATTTTTTTTATGTGTATTTGCCTATTTGCTGATTGGATCTGGCTATTTTTTTTAATGATTCAGAGTATATAGAAGACTAGAAGTATAGAACAGATCTATTTAATTTGATGATTCTATTGTAGTTGAAGTGTGTCCTGATTCTTGAATATCTGAGTATGGAACATATAAGACATAAATGAATTGTGTCCTGAATTATTTCCATTTGGTAATGGAACATCAGTGAGGTATTTAAAGAAGTATGCAGTTGTTTTTTATTAGAATGATTGATTAAATGTTTCTAAACTCAAATTATTAGTTTGTTTATTATTAAGGTTAAGAAAATGGATCCAAACATAACTGAATAGATGAAGAGATTACTGTTTTGTTGTGATTACTGTTCTTATTATAGTCAAATAATGAATTGGATGAGGCAATTATTTTTAGATTTTGAGTCTTTACTTTGAAGATTATGCCTTTGGGTTGTTGTATGAACTAATATTTGAATGTTGTTTTTTAGATTTAATGTCTAAATTTATGGTTTAAGACTATTTTAATTATTTATTTACTTGTATGGTTATATATATTATTATTTATGGCATTTAAAGTGAACTGCTCGAATAGCTTACGCAATGCGCTACGCTATTTACGCTACGCAATATCAGGACCAAAACGCGACGCGATGCGCTATGCGCGTTTTAAAACACTGATTGGATGTTATTAGTTTGGTTGAATACTCATTATATTCAAAATCTTTTTCGGGTAGCGGGCCGGGTATGGATACAGTTTTTAGCAGATGGGCGGTTATGCAATAACCTGACCCGGCCGACCCTTTTACATCCCTATCTGTAACTCCTTTTATTTATTTATTTTTTATTTTTCTGTTTGTGATTTTTAATTCCTAACAATTTTGTTTTAATTTTATGTTCGGTTTGTTTTCTCAAAAATCTCATCCACAGTCGTTGTCGGGTTCTTCATCTTCCGCCACGTCACGGCCGTTCCGCCATTCGGATCCATCCAGTGGCTACTCGCCGCCGCACCTGCGCATGCGGGAAATATAAGGTTTATACATTTTTAATTTCCATACATCTGTCAATTCATGTTTGTCAATTATGAACATGAGAGTATAATATTTTCAGCGGAGAACTATATTTATCTCCCATGAAAAATTTAGTTTTGGGGCAACCTGTAAATCGTAATTTATTAATTAATTGATCATATCTTATCTGTGTAATGATTTAGCAAATTTCTCTTATTAGAGGTGATACAGTGGCTTAGAACTTAGGGGTTGAAATCGATGAATATAATCAAGTCCCACCCCAGAAATCCCAGTCCCGAATGAAGACAATTATAATGTACTTGTTTGATTTTTCTTTTCCCATCTCAATTGAATGAGCCAAGTGTGAATCTAATATGTGGTGTGGGATTGAATTTACAAGAATAGAACGTAGGGATTGGAATCGATGAATGGTAAATAAGATAAAAAAAAAAAAAATTTATCTCTATCTTTTGTCAGATAAATCTTGACTAGGTGAGGAATGGAAATGAAGAAGCCTAGTGTCCATCTCACAAAATTTTGTGTAGATATCTGTCGGGCCTGATCCGGCCCGTTTAAGCTTTCCCAAGCTCGTTGGACGGTGCTATTAAGTAGGCCAACTTTAGGGCCGGCCTTTATATGATGGACGTAGCAGTATGAACTGTGAAGACAGGTGTAAACAAGCCTAGAGCTGAAAGGAGCTTGAGTCGTTAACTAAACGAGCCATATGATCGAGTTTGCTGCACGAGCCTTTTATAAGCCAAACTAAAAAAATTATATAAAATTTCCTTTTTCCGAGCCTTTACAGCCGAGCCGAGCCAAGCCTGACTTATGTATTGAACGAAACTTTGAACAAATTCAAGCTCGTCTCATATATCAAATCAGTTTCATTTAACAACTTAGAATAGAATTGCCAAACAGAATTGCCAACGCAAATAGAATTGCCAAACACTCAACAGCCTAACAACGCAAATAGAATTGCCAAACAGTTCTAAGTCGAGTTTTCTTTTTTTTTTTCTTTTTTTTTTCTTTCTTTTTAACCTTTCTATCTCAGATTCTCAGCTTTTTCAATACGGGATTAAATTGTGTTGTGGATCACCTTTAATCCATAGTTATGGCGCTGAGGTCAATTTGTCGGGGCTTGAAGAAGAACAATCAGCTGTTTTTGCCGCTGTTTAATTCGTGCTCGCATTTGCACTCTCATTCGACCAGCTTCGGTTAGTGTCCCTTTTCATTGAACTCACTCTTTCCATGAAAATCATGTGATTTTTGGGTTATTGGTTTTGTGGGTTATTGGTTTTGTGCTTCATAGTTCCCCCAAATTGAGCTAGCCCTATGACTAAAATGTGGTTTTTTTTCCATGTTCCAGGGTTTAAGGATGTTAGGGAGGAGGAAAAGAGTCAATTGGTGGGCAATGTTTTCACCAGCGTCGCGTCAAATTATGATCTCATGAATGATTTGATGAGTGGTGGTTTGCATAGATTGTGGAAAGAGAGGTTGGTCTGATTTCTTCCTCTTTACTTTTTTTTTTTAATTTTTTTTTTTCTCTTCACATTAAAGCTTAAAACATGTGGGTTTCTTCTGTTGCCAATTATTTGTAGATTGGTTTCGAAATTGAATCCGTTTCCGGGGATGAAACATCTTGATGTGGCTGGTGGAACAGGTGTGCTTTAATTAAGTTATGTAAATAACTTGTTTGGTGTGTCTGTTTATGTGTGTCTATGTGTGTCTGTGCACGTGTATGTGTGCGACTGAGTTTGCGTGCGAGTTCATGTTTGTGTGTGTTGTGATGTGTGTCGCGAACAGGAAAATGAAGTTACTTGTTTATGCTATTCGATTAGAGAATGTTGAATCAGTTATTATTTTATTTTCTAGCATAATTGATTTGAAGTTCTTATTTGTAGACCTGGACATGTTGAGTAAACTTGTATGTTGATATGATCTGTGTGGATTTATAACATATGGGCCTGTACACATATTGAACTTCCTTATGTTATGTGAAGATTCCCTTTCGTTCAGACTTTGGACGAACTGTGGATGGAACTGGGAAAGTAACGAAGTCTGTGAAATCGTCAAATATATCTGTAGTGAATTTATGCGTGAAAGTTGGATGAAAAACTTAGTTCTAACGGTGTTAGATACAAAGAAAGTGTTTTTCTCTCTATGTTTAGTATCCATGTCATGTTCAGTTATACACCTCTTCATTTTTCATACATTACAGTTGAGTTGAAATGTTTGTTTGGGNGGAAGAGACTTTTAGTTGTTATTTCGAGAGTTAATGCTGTTTGGTTTCCTTGTATATGCCTGATTAAAGAGCTTTTCTAATATTACAGGGGATGTGGCTTTCAGAATTCTGGAAAGTATAAATAGTGTTCGGCATAGGGCCATGAGAGACATTCATGATGATAATCTACTTGAAGAAACTCAAATTTTTGTATGTGATATAAACCCAAATATGTTGAATGTGGGCAAAAAGAGGGCCCAAGAGAGAGGTAACTCGATCCTCTATTTTCTGTACTTCACCTACCGGAAATGCAATTTCATTTCTCTTTGTAATTTTCTCTAAATCAGTTGACTATATATTCAATCGAGCATTGCCCTATAATGCATGAAGGTCTTGGAGATGATAAATCCCTCGTGTGGGTTGAAGGAGATGCTGAAGCATTAAAATTTGAAGATAAGTCGATGGATGGTTATACAATTGCTTTTGGGATACGAAATGTCACACATATAGAAAAAGCTCTTTCAGAAGCTCACAGGTTCCCTTCTGATTCTATGTTGCATTCTTTCATGGCCTCAATAGTGCTTATTCTCAAAACGTGATATTGACTCTTTGTTGTGTCATTGATAAAACTAACGTGTCACAGTACGATAGTCTTTATTATGTCGTCTATTTTACATATTTATGTATCCGATTATTTGGTCTTGGTTGAAGTTTCACTCTGCTGATTCTGATTGTGGTCGATCTCTGTTATGGTACTGATTATTACGTTCATGAACAATTGAATTTACAATGAATATGTATTGTTTGAATACTCTGTAATGGAAAATATTATATTTATGTATCCATAACCTCGTCAATACCCATTTTTTAAGAATAGCAGTTCAAACTTCTTCTGTGTTATTTTCTCTTAGGCAACAACATGTACACATTTTTATATTTGATTTTCCTGCTGATACAGGCTATCTATGTTTTATGATCTACTTTCCATTTTGGAATCGATGCCATCTTTATTTGATAATTTTCTTTGTTGTATTTGCAGGGTACTTAAACGGGGAGGAAGATTTCTTTGCCTTGAACTGAGCCATGTCGAACTCCCCGTTTTCAAAGATTTGTAAGTTTTTCCAATGTGGCTTTTGATAGTTTATCATCTCTTCTCATACTTTATACACCCTAAGTATGTTATGTGTCATCACAATGGAGATTAGTTAAAATGCCATTACCAATCTCTGTTTCCTTGAGTTTAGCAGTAGTTATTTTCCAGTACTTTGGGTTCTCATTCTCTTAATGATCACTCATTTTTCGGTGAAACTTAATTGACCCGAACACATGATTTTATGGTAATTTGTTTCTAGTATTTCTTTAATTTTCGATGTATGTTCCGAAATAGATGTATGATTATATTTTTTTTAAACTTTTTGTCTCTCCAGGTATGACTATTACTCGTTCTCAGTCATTCCAGCCCTTGGAGAGCTAATAGCAGGTGATCGTGAATCTTATCAATATCTGGTCGAGAGCATTCGCCGTTTTCCTCCACAGGTAGAATGCATAAGGGAAATTTGATTAGTATATTCTGTTGCACTCATTAATCGTTCTGGAGAGGATTGATTGAAATTCATATTCTTCATATCTTGATAATTGCCTCTGCAGAAAGACCTATATTAGTTGTAAACGCACGTATAAGATTATATTAACATACACGAACCTGTATAAGGGAACACAAGTAGCTGAGTTTTCTCACTTTCTAGTTTCTACCATAAGGTTCACAGTCTAATGGTTTATTTCTCCGACTCACATTTACTTTGTCTTTGGCTGTTTCAATTAGGAGCAGCATTCAGAACACTTGGATTCATGCAAAAATAAAAAAATAAAAATCCCAGATTTCATAAAATGGTTNATTTTTTTTTTTTTTTTTTTTTAAATAAAATAAAAATAATAAAAACAACAGTGGGATGTTTATATATGATTTATATATAATGAACCATACAGAGTCGAGTTGTAGACCTCAGTTGTGAATTAAATGCGAATTATGATCAATGAATGGGTACATACCATTGCACCTGCAATCTCCCTCTTCTATTCGAGTAAACTTTATATATGATACGCGTTTTGAAGCTCGTGTTATCCTCAGTTATTGTTTCTTTGTTTTTTTTTTTCTTTGGACACACGTGCTATTTAAACCTTCACAAACATTCATATGTTATAGAAAAAGCATTTGCTGCATTGTTCTTGATCCAAAACTTCATGTCCCGAGGGTTTGCTGACTTTTTTAACATTTACTTTTATCGGTCATATATGCAACTGCAGGAGAAATTCGCCTCTATGATAGCAGAGGTTGGGTTTCAAAAGGTCGAGTATGAAAACCTTGTTGGAGGAGTGGTAGCCATTCATTCTGGCTTGAAGCTTTAGGTCGACTAGCATTTTTCGGCATTGTTCTTTGCTCTGCTTCGGTTTGAAGACTTCTGTTTCGGTAAACAGGTGAAAGATAAAAGGAAACTTTGTTGAAACTCGAACGGATATTGTGACTAGTGACTGGTTTCGTCCGCCGGTTTTGCATTGGTGCTTTTATCCATTGAAAATCATGCATCTTTCTTGTAGCACTTTTCTGGAGAAATGGTTCTATTTACTTCTATCATGATATTTATTATTATTTATTTATTCTTTTTTNCTTTTGTTAAAACCCACTGTATAATATTATGAATGAGTTAGTTATATCATATGTGGTGTATATGCAATGAAGGGAAAATTTCATCAGTCATGGATCAACAAACAAACACTCACTTTTTTCACCGTTGGTCACATGGGAAGACTTGGTGTTTTGCGTTGTACAAAATGATATTTTGGAAGTGCAAAGTGTATTATTTTTAAATTCCTCAATTTCACAAATTGAATGAAATTTGAATGGATGATATATTTTTATGAAAAATGTTGAGAAAAATGATTGGAAAATATTAGTGAGGGGATAATATTTTTTGTCCGAATTATCCATGAATGCATGGCACTTTGCATCTTATTAAAAAATCATCACTCAAGTTCACTTTTTATGATTTGCGTTACTTTACCAAATTAAATTTATTTTACATCTAAATATCTAATCATTAGATTGCAAGTATCTCACACACAACTATAAGGTACTAGGTGAATGTATTAGACTGATCATAATATGAAGTATAAACTTATAGTAAATACTTTATGCTTCGCTCTTTGAATGAGCAATTAACTTTAGCTTTCAATACGATTTTAGAACCGTATAATTTAAAAGACAAAGTTATAGGAAAAATATATGATCCCATTTAATTCATCGTTCTAACGTACGTATCTTTTAAAACTATACATTAGAGCCATATAATACAAATCTAATAGTAAAAACTATTAATATTTCTCTTTTAAAACTACACATTGTGTGTAGCCTTGGAATTTGTATTTAGTTACCAAGTACCTTCATCACAAAGTATATTCTCAAGGGCTCAAGGAGCATCTATAAATTAATATTTGCAATTAATTTAAGAAATTGAGAAGAAAATACGTTATCTTTGTTAGATACTAAGAGCATCTCTAATAGAGTTTTTCCACAGGTTTACAAACACAAACCTCATAGCTTTTCCATTATATTGAGCAGGTTTAAGGTTTATGAAAGGCCCACCAGGTTTGATTTCACAAACCTCTTCTAAACCTGAAAAGTGAAATGAAAAATATGATATAAATAATTCACTTGATGGAGCGTGTAATACACTGCTTGAGAGAAAAGCTTTTTATGAGTGTTGGAGACACACGCACTTCAAATCATGTGTTGGGTGTCATGGCCCACACCTGCCACAATGTTAGACACTTCTATATATTTAATTTGTAACGTTTATTATTATTTGAGTTTTGTAGGAATTGGATTTTAGATGACATGGCACCTTGAAAATTGAAAAGTGGGGATACAGGTTTACCACTAAAGATGCTCTTAGTGTAAATAATTGAATGTGAGACCCCACTTGAATGTTGCGTGAAGAAATTACATTACTTACATATTGATTTTCAAAAGCAATCATGACATTTGAAATGGTGCTCTGACTTTGTAATAGTAAGCCTTCTTCAAGCATTGCGTATATATATAGGCGTCGTTTACTAGCATTGATAGGATGGAATTACGTTGGTTAACCAACCTAATCATTTGTTTACTAGGTTTGTTGGGGATTCGAATTTATCTGATGTGTCCCTTGTGTGGCATGTGGGTCCCGCGTGTGTAAACTGATGTGGTGGGTTGCATTGATCTGCCCAAAATGGCTTGACTAAATAATCCACCTTTCATACTTCCCATTTTGACCTCATTTTAGCACGTAAAATGTCTATTGTGCCCCTCCATGTCATCTAAATTACAGATATAGCCATATATATTACCTTCGTTGTCCGAAAATCGCCATATGCGATCTCGTCTGCCCTAGCTCGTCGTATTCGCCCGTAACCCTACCTGCAACTTCTTCTTCTTCTTCTTTGTTTTTTACGAGTTTCTTTATTTTAAAACACTTCGTACTAACATGGATAAGCTCGCAGGTGGCAATTGCTTCGACTTGCTCGACGGTTGGGCATATTTTCCTCCGCCAATTCACTGATGTGTCCTTAATTATTCTTTTTTTTAATTTTTTTGTTGTGCGAGTCGCTTAACGAAAGATCAAAAAGTATGAACGAATTTTAGGGTTCCCATTTTCTGCAATGTTTAGTCTATTTGGAAGCGATTTGAATGAGAAATACGAAAGGGCAAAAATGTAATGGGTAATATACACTACAAATTTATCATGTATAGTAAATAGATGATTGGTTTAGGATAAGATTGTATCATGTTTAGTAAACTTGGAACAAAATCTGATGTGGCAAAATGTGGACACTTGGAGGGATTAAACTGTCTAATCCTCTCCTCTTTAGTAAACGAGGCCATAGGGATTGTAGAGTTTTAGAGGCAGAAAGAAGTGAAGAGAAAATCTGAGTAATTGAGAAAAAGAAATACGAGAAGAGAAAGTTAGAGAAAGCATAAAGCAGGGGAAAAATACATGGTGATTTTGTTGAAGAAAAAATGTATGCTATCAAAATAGCAAAAAAGGAGAAAAAAGAGATAATTTTATTAATAATACTCTTTTAAATATACCTCATATTCTTTTTAAATGTCATTTTGACTTTATTAACTATTAACAAAATAAATGTCGTTTTAGATCTTTTGTACATATTTTTCTATTATTACTCTCATTTAGCTAATAAATACACCACGTCTTTTTATATTCACTATTCATTTTTTCCCAAAACATCATTCTCTATCTTCATTAAAGAGGGTTATTATTGGCAAAAAAAAAATATTTTTAATTACTGTGCAACTTCTTAAAACGACACTTATTATGAATAGGAGGGACTACAAATCTAATTGTAAAAATTATTAATTGTTCTCTTTTAAAACTACACATTATGTGTGGTCTTGCAATTTGTATTTAGTTACCAATTGCCAAGTACCTTCATCACACAAAGTATATTCTCAAGGACAATGAGCATCTATAAATTAGTATTTGCAATTAATTTAAGAAATTGAGAAGAAAATACTTTACCTTGTCATTTAGATTTACCCACGTTCATGAACTCGGCCCGATTAAACACGAAGCCCGTGTAGCCATTTACACTCACACGTCACTCACACCTTTTAAGAAGCACGGACATTTCTGTGAGGTTGTCCTTTGTTGTACTTGATGCGTCATTATTTTTGTCATGTTATGTTAATTAAAAATGATACTAAATTTTATTTTATTTAAATCACACACAACCACCGTCCAATTCCAATGGGTAGTTTATTTAA